TAATATACAGTGAGACTTGACTTTACTGAAACCTGCCTTCCAGGACCTCCTGTAATATACAGTGAGTCCTGACTTTTCCAAAACCATGACTTCCAGGACCTCCTGCAATATACAGTGACACCTGACTCTACTGAAACCTGCCTTCCAGGACCTCCTGTAATATACAGTGAGACCTAACATTACTAAAACCCTGCCTTCCAGGACCTCCTGCAATATACAGTGAGACCTGACTTTACTGAAACCTGCCTTCCAGGACCTCCTGTAATATACAGTGAGACCTGACTTTACTGAAACCTGCCTTTTAGGACCTCCAGTAATATACAGTGAGACCTGACTTTACTGAAACCTGCCTTCCAGGACCTCCTGTAACATACAGTAAGACCCGACTTTTCCAAAACCCTGCCTTCCAGGACCTCCTGTAATATACAGTGAGACCTGATTTTACCAAACCCTGCCTTCCAGGACCTTTTGTAATATACAGTGAGACGTGACTGTACCAAAACCATGCCTTCCAGGACCTCCTGTAATATACATTGAGACCTGACTTTACCAAAACCATGCCTTTCAGGACCTCCTGTAATATACAGTGAGTCCTGACTTTTCCAAAACCCTGCCTTCCAGGTCCTCCTGTAATATACAGTGAGACCTGACTTTATCAAAACCCTGCCTTCCAGGACCTCCTGTAATATACAGTGAGTCCTAACATTACTAAAACCCTGCCTTCCAGGACTACCTGTAATATACAGAGAGACCTGACTTTACCAAAACCCTGCCTTCCAGGACCTCCTGTAATATACAGTGAGACCTAACATTACTAAAACCCTGCCTTCCAGGACTACCTGTATAATACAGAGAGACCTGACTTTACCAAAACCCATCCTTCCAGGACTACCTGTAATATACAGTGAGACCTGACTTTACCAAAACCCTGCATTCCAGGACCTCCTGTAATATACAGTGAGTCCTAACATTACCAAAACCCTGCCTTCCAGGACCTCCTGTAATATACACAGAGACCTGACTTTACCAAAACCCTGCCTTCCAGGACTACCTGTAAAATACAGAGAGACCTGACTTTTCCAAAACCCTGCCTTCCGGGACTACCTCTAATATACAGTGAGACCTGACTTTACCAAAACCCTGCATTAAAGGACCTCCTGTAATATACAGTGAGTCCTAACATTACCAAAACCCTGCCTTCCAGGACCTCCTGTAATATACAGAGAGACCTGACTTTACCAAAACCCTGCCTTCCAGGACTACCTGTAATATACAGAGAGACCTGACTTTTCCAAAACCCTGCCTTCCAGGACCTCCTGTAATATACAGTGAGTCATGACTTTACCAAAACCCTGCCTTCCAGGACCTCCTGTAATATACAGAGAGTCCTGACTTTTCCAAAACCCTGCCTTCCAGGTCCTCCTGTAATATACAGTGACACCTGATTCTACTGAAACCTGCCTTCCAGGACCTCCTGTAATATACAGAGAGACCTGACTTTACCAAAACCCTGCCTTCCAGGACCTCCTGTAATTATATAGTGAGACCTGACTTTACCAAAACCCTGCCTTCCAGGACCTCCTGTAATATACAGTGAAACTTGACTTTACTGAAACCTGCCTTCCAGGACCTCTCCTGTAATATACAGTGAGTCCTGACTTTACCAAAACCCTGCCTCCCAGGACCTCCTGTAATATACAGTGAGACCTGACTTTACCAAAACCCTGCCTTCCAGAACCTCCTGTAATATACAGTGAGACCTGATTTTACCAAACCCTGCCTTCCAGGACCTCCTGTAATATACAGTGAGTCCTGCCTTTACTGAAACCTGCCTTCCAGGACCTCTCCTGTAATATACAGTGAGTCCTGACTTTACCGAACCCTGCCTTCCAGGACCTCCTGTAATGTTCAGTGAAACCTGACATAACCGAAATCTGACATCGAGGACATCACCTCTAATATACAGTGAGACCTGACTTTACCAAAACCCTGCCTTCCAGGACCTCCTGTAATATTCAGTGAAACCTGACATAACCGAAATCTGACATCGAGGACATCCCGTTATGCAGTACAGTGAGATCTGACTTGTTTGGGGTTCATTTGAAGACGGGACCGACTAGGAGGGCGTGTCGCTCTATTGGAATAAACAGTCTCTGACGCAGTATGCATGCCATGTAGCAATTGGCTGTAGGCATTTTTGTGACTTTGGTCGGCAAGATACACGGAAGCAATTTTTGTGGGTCATGTACTCAGCGGCTTAGTAAATCTGGGTCAGAGAAAGTCGTAAAACAATCAAAATATTTCTTGGCAGACAAATGTGTTCTGACGTAAATAATAATTAAAACCGCTGTCTGACAAGTACATTTAGTGTGCGCCGTTTGGAGTCTTTTCAACAACACATATGGAATTCATTATATGCAAAACATAACACACAGCGGAATAAAAAGGGGTAACAGATTGCTCATAACATATAGACTTGTTCTAGCCCCGGCAAACAATTGATTAGTGAACCAAATCTGACACTATAGTTTAAACGTAGTTTATCTCTCGTAAACAAATCGTGGACACTATTCGAAAAACAGCAGAATATCAACGTAACGGTTAATTGTATTTCTCTCATTTCCGTCTGTGTAAGATAGAGATTTCCGTGGTAAGAAAGGGGTGTAAGAAATTTCTATCTGGACTTTTGGAAAACTCCGAAGCCGCAATGCGGAAGCTGAGAGGCGACGTGGTGAAATTAAAAACTTTTACGATATATTTACTCTACTCTCTCTCACAATTACCTCTCGTTAATTGATTTTCAAAGGGAAAAGACAATCAATTAATCAAATAATCAGCTTTATTTCTCTTTACCAATTCAGAATTTACAGAGAAAACATATTTACAACAGCATGCAATATCAAACGTAATAAATATGAAGGACAAATTATGATATTTTTTTAACAAAATTTTGATAAATTTGCATAAATTTCTTGAAATATTAACATTGATTGTATTCATTAGTTTTGAGAACTATTAACTTATGATAACGGTTTGAAAAAAATAGTGCAATATATGATAGTGTATTATCAACATGACAGTGGACATTTCGTCCGGACTATATGCAATATATCTCTATAATTCTAATCAGGTCGATCCACAATCCAGCCTCCACTAATCCGGACATTCCACCATGCAGCCAGGACTAATCAGGTCGATCCACAATCCAGCCATCACTAATCCAGATGTCCAACTACCAGTTATCCGGACGATCCACCATCTAGCTACCTCTAATCCGTTCGATGCACCATCATGCCAACACTTATCCGGTTGTTCCACCATCCATCTAATTTGATTGATCCACCATCCAACTATCACTAATCTTGTTCCACCATCCAGCCACCGTTAATTCGGTTGTTCCACCATCCAGCCACCGTTAATTCGGTTGTTCCACCATCCAATCACCATTGATCTGGTCGCTCCACCACCCAGCCACCACTAATCCAGTCGATCTACTATCCAGCCACCACTAATCCGGTCGATCTACTACCCAGCCACCACTAATCCGGTCGATCTACTATCCAGCCACCACTAATCCGGTCGATCTACTATCCAGCCACCACTAATCCAGTCGATCTACTATCCAGTCACCACTAACTTGATCGATCCACCATCCAGCCTCCAGTTGTCCGGTTGACCACCTTTATCGGTTGTTTTACTGTCCAGACACTCTGATTAATCCGGTTGTCTCTCTATCCGGTCACCACTAATTCGCTAGTTCGGGAACCCCACTAACACTAACTGGATCATTCACTAATGCAGTCACCACTAACCTGGTTAATTGTCTTGATAACAAGCCACCATAAACCATGTCGTTGTCCCGCTGTCTAGCCCGTGCCTCATAGTCATATTAGCCTTACTTTACACAAAAACTGTCCCAGTTCTCCGAACATCTTACAATCTAGACACTTAATCCGGGAAAGAAGGTGGTCGGATTATAGAGGATCCATTGTATACAGGTGTAGCGTACAGTGCAAACAAAGAGGTTCCTTAACGAATGGTGACTGGTTATCATATTTTATAGGTAAAAAAAATCATATTTACTTGGAAATTTGAGACAGTTTTGCGTTTTATATCCCACAACAGCTTTCAACGTGTAAAATAATCCCTTGACTCAAATATCAGTTAAAAAAAAAAAAACATTTATTAAAATACTGATAATATGTGACATTGATTTTTGCATAACAAGCCTATAGATGCATTCTGGTGAACGTGATCACTTAGAGTCGTAATATAATCACGCCTTATTGACTGAAATGTCTGTTCTGTTAAGATAATTGACTATACCATAACAGTAAACGAACTATCTTTTACAAGATACAATATTATTTATTTATTGCCGTTACCTAGCGAAGCAGTTAAACGAAATGTATTTCACAAGGTACAACATTCTCTATTCATCATAGGACATCAGCGTAATAGATAAGCATTTTTACGAGAAACAAAGGTAGAATCAACGAGAAATGTGTACGAAACATACTCCCAATATTTCTAAAATATCAGGTTAAGATCGAGACATATATATATAAGAGGGCATATATGTTTTCAAAAAATGCAATTCTGCGCAAAAGAAAGGAAACATTATTGTTTGTTTCAACTACAAACCATAACGTTCACAAACTTTAGAAGTCAATATCTTTACAGGAATATATGGACATGAACGTCTTGACTTTTATGCCCTGTGAAATAATTCGACGTTATATGATCGATATGATGTTCCTTAATGAAACAATCACAGAATGCTATTTATATAACATAAAAGAATTGCGGTCTCTTATCCTATTAATATATTTAGAATTGAAATTGTTTATTACGTATTAGGAACACGAAGAAGAATAAAACGCATATCTGTCGCTGGACAAGCAATGGTAGTAGATGTACGAACGCACCGGTGGCACACCGATATTGTTAACGGTAAACGAACGCACCGAAATCTTTAGCATCTTCGTCACCAGTACGCTTTATACTAAGGGCGATTTGAAGCACTACATGCAAAGCGATGAATTAACCATGGTTGATAAACAGTGGGAATGGAAACGTGAATTTCCTTCAGCCATTGATAGAATGCCAACACAATATATCCATCGCTAGGATGTTGATTAATGCCAACACAGTCGTGAAGAGTGAAAAGATTATACTAGTGCCTTATGAAAACCATCATGTTCCGAGGTATGTACACAGCGCATTATTTATGCTGTTTATCGACACCGTCTGGTTTTCGACGCTCCGTCTCGTGCGAATGTTAACAGGTTTAAAGGCTTTGCAGTTACTAACGTTTCTTCCATTAGCTCCTATCGTTTCGTGAAGCGCTCTGTCATTGTCCGAATTAAAGTGTTTAACGTGTGTTCAATGTTTTGTTACATCAATAATTTTTAGATGTGTGTAAAAATCAATAAATAAATAAAATGAATAAGTGAAAATAAATATATTCATTAATAAATCAAGCAGAGACGTATATACTGGCTTTATGTGTCTCTGAATTAAGTAAGTAAAGATTACTGTACACTAATTTGAACATAACTTTTAATTTTCATGATAATAGTATGAAAATCTAGAAACTGAAATTGAATTTGAAAATAAATGGAAACCAGTACTAAAATGAAAACCTTAGAGGAGACAATTTTCTTGTCAGTTTAAGCAAATTGCTTCTTTTTCAAGGCAAGACAAATATTGCATATAAAGATACATCAGGTTCAAACTACCAACTTAAAAATAGATTTTGAAAATGATTAACATTGTTTTTCATTCACGGATGATCCATCTGTCCTAGATACCACCAGTGGATGCAATCTAAGGAGCTCCAACAGTTGACTGCTTCAGAGCCGTTATCACTGGAGGAGGAGTACCAGATGCAGCAAAGCTGGAGACAGGATGAAGACAGTACATATATGAATTTTAATTATTATGTATAAAAATGTGAAACTAGGATGCTACATCCATCGTGTAGATGACAGGTAGTGGGTGGATGTATGGTGCTACTGCTAATATGTAGTTTCAGATGTACAATGTACAGCTTATACCTAGTTATCCTCGTATGTTTTTTTTGTTAAAACTAAAGTAATATGGTTTATTTTTTTTAACATTGGGTTGTTTAAATCTTTCTTTTTTTCTTAAATGTAGAACGAAGAAAAAAAAAAGGTATTATTTTGCCTTGAAAAGCAAAATATGAACGATTTAAATAACAGCATGATTTATTTATACTATTCAACAAATTTATACAAAAACGTTTATGCAATTTTTTTTATTTTTTTTACAGAATGCACTTTTATAATACTTGACCTTGCTATATACAGTCCTTCAGGAAAAGATGAAGATGAAATCTGTAAGTTACTGTTGGCTACATTTGATTATACTGTTGGCGACCTTTTCTTGCCATAGCACATATAATTATCTTCATCAAACAGGAATGTTGACTGGTAAAAAACTATGGTTACAGAGACAAATGTATGTTGTATAGTTTGCATTGAAATTAAAATAAATGCAAGCTTTCTTGTGTGCTCGTATGCTTAGCATACCAGACCAGAGTGAGAACAGATATTTGGCGAGAATAGGTCAGCCATCATTATAATGAATTATCCTGACCTAGAAATTGAATCGACCAGGCCAAATATATCCGTTTCCTCTCTTCCTACTGTACCTACCTTTCATGTTAATCCATAGGCTTGTCTTTCTTCATGGGTTTTAAGATTAGTGCTGTTTGTTAAAGTCTGAAATGATGACTCTACATAAACTTTTAAAAAGGAATACTTCAAATTATTCCTCCCTATCCCTCAAGTAGAAGCACATTTATTATTTTTCAATTATAAATTGATTATAAATATTTCTCAATTTGGCTTAATATAAATTGGTTCTTCTATTTTATAACACCAACAACATAACAAAATAATGTTCTTGCTCTTCAGAATTTTTTTTGGGATTTAGTGTTGTGAAATACACAGGAAAACAAATTCTTCACATTGGTGATATTTTTTTAAAATTTCATCTACATGTATTTATTAAAGAGTCAAATTGTAATAGATATTAATTATAATCAAATGAATAAAGGAAGATGTAATATCTCAGGATTTTGTGTATTTCAGCTGCTATGGTTGGTGATGTGAATCTGTTTTTCAATGACGAGGATAATAAGCATTCTGCAGAAATAGAGATTATGATAGCAGGTAAGTTGTAGTACTTAAAAATTATCAATGGCCCGTAAAACAACACACAAAACGAAAAAAAAAAGCAGTGTTAGTCAGATGATGAAGATTATCAACCATTTTCTAAATTTCTGAATGAAGATCATTTTCAATATACACAAAAAATACAACTTTATAAGATATAAAAAAAAATAAAAAAAAATATGTACTTTTCCAAAACCATATTGTGATTGTTTTATTTGTTTGGTTTTAGAACCCAGTGCAAGAAGGAAAGGCTTTGGAAAGGAAACACTGCTATGTATGATGCAATATGGTAAATACGTGAAATCATTATATGTAAAGATGCAAACAAAATAAATACAATACAGTATTGTTTAATTGAAATTGCATTTATTCAAAAACCATCCAGTTCAAGTGCATGTAAGAGTGATGTTCTTAAAATATATTTTACATTCTTTCGTCAGTAATTACTGATAAAAACAACGGTTGGTGTCTGGTACTGGTCACTAAACAGACATTTTATGATTTTTAACTGATCAGCATATGTTGCAATTTTTACAGGAGTACAAACATTGAAGGTTCAGGAGTTCACAGCAAAGATTGGCTTCAGCAATGTGGCTAGTATACAGCTATTCCACAAACTAGGTTTTAAAGAGGTATGAACCAAGAGAGACAACTCTTATATTATGGATGGTGGCGCACATTCTCTTCTCTAATAAATATTAATGCATTCACCCCTGAAATTTCATAATGCCTTATTCTATCCTTTGAATTGGAAGAGTTCAAATATGTCGTCAGGGGTGAATGAGTTAAATAGGCCTACTATTTTATACCAGAGACATAGTATATAGACTTTATATATATATCTGCATATACTAACGAAATTGGAGACATTCTCAGATTTTCTATGCATCAATTGTTGATTACATTTAGACAATTTCCCTAACTTCAAAACAAGCATTTTATAATGTCCAATGTGTATAATCATTTTATGTTATGTGATAAAGCAATTTTCTGACTTTCTATGATTTTTTTCTTCAAATTATCACTGATTATAAAAAAAACATCATTTTGACTGATTTGTCAGGTATACGCAGGGTAAAGTTTCAAAGATAAAAACAAGCCCTTCAACTAAATTAACATGTAATAACTGTCCAGCGAGGATGTAACCGTGTTGGTAGCTTAAGGTGGAGAGAGTCCATGTGCTCCGTCTTGTATCTCTAAAGAAAAAGAGTTCCCAATTTGTTTGAATTAAATAGCAGAGACCTTATCAACTGGCTAACAGACATGATATTTGATATGATACTTTTTTTGTTACTGTGAACTCGCAAAAAGCCAGTAGCCCATATTGTCTTCGTGTATGAATATTGAGAAAATGATAGAAGAAAAATACAGTTAGACCTGTAATTTATCAATGCTAGCTATATAGCCCTGTATCGACATTTTACAACTCAAGAGAGATAACTCCTGCTGATTAAAGTTGTAATGTTACCAATTGGCAGCTTTTCCCGTGCAGTCGGAATTAAATCATGGCATTACACATCACATGAGTGACATTATCTATTTCATACCCTGTGTCACAGTGTTATTAAAATAGTAAAATGATATTTAAATTCTACAAGACTCATCTGACTAGGAGCTTTTCATGTTTGAGATATATTTTGTTGTATCAATTAAACGTTGCTCGGAGCGAGAAGAATATCCAGATTGAGTTAAACATGTGCTGTAATAATTATAATAATAATAATAGCATGCCAAATAGTATTAAGTTAAATATGGAATATTTGTGTGTAGATATTTATCTTTAATGTTGACGACACTTATTCTTCTACCTAAACAACAGATTACTAGACGCATAGAAACTCGTGTGCAGTAAATTAAAACCCTTACATTAATTATTGCATCACGTATCTTTCTTGAGACATAGTTTGCTTATGCGTTTATTTTTGTTTACTCTATAACAGGTATCCAGAAGTGAGGTGTTTGAGGAGGTCACTCTAAAGCATTCTGTAGCAGAACAAGCCTCCACACCACAGACAGGCCTACCTGTCTTCCAAATAGGGCCTTACCGATTAAAATCTTCTTAATGAATAGTTGTTGTTCACTTCTATTTTAAACAGTACTGTAAATAAGAAATTCTACATATGTTTTGCCTAGTTCTATTTAGCAATGCTGACTCAATACAATATTAAACGAAAATATAACCCAAATAAAGATACGATACTCTTTTAAAGATAACAGCATCGGAAGGGAACATTTTTGAACCATTTAATGCGATTTGAAATTTGTGTGTCTTGATGTTTATACAAGGGACTAAACGTATGGTTAATATTGATCTAAATACAAATATTCCCTGATATTCAGTGCAAACTATACTCGTGGAACAGCCTAGCGTCATTTATATGTGTGTTTCTTACGATGGTCCTACGTACGTTATTCGAGGTGGTGGGCAAAGCGTCAAAACGATGTTGATCTCGTTCCAATTTTTGGAGCTGTTCATTGCAGCGAAAATGGAAAGTAAATAGTCTGTTGTGAATCTGATAACCGCAATTCCAGTCAACAATAGAGATGCGAGATACGCCGTGGTTATCCAGTGTGTGTATCATGTGTATGCAAAACCTACTTTACTGAAAGTCCAGGGAACATTTTGTCTCGTTCATCCAGAAGTTTGATTACTGCGTAAGTCTCTATACAAGGCAAGCAATTAGCATCAGTAGTCACTGTTAGAGTCGAGGTCTTGTTAGACGAGAATAGGGAACACTACGTACATCTTGTGCGTTGGAAATGTGATCGTGCTTCTTCCCTTCATTCATGATAAATGGCATTATGCAGACCCACAATATTAAACACAAAACATACATGTACACTCCGTGTATGTACATATTTCCTTTTCACTATGAGAACGATTGAGTTACAGCTCCATAAATTTATTACGAGCTAAGCGTTTTAAATCACTAACTATTCCTATAGCTCATCTGTCTTGACCAAATTAAGATGTTTAAGTACAGTATGTGTGGTCGTGTCAACTACATGTAACTAACGATAAAAAAAAATCCGGCTATAATTTTGTGTGTGTTCATTGGGTCTTTTGGTATATACATATTACTATGTAAGAGATAGTGTGCATCCAACGGAGAATCGAACCCGCGATCCTAGACTTTATAGTCTGACGCTCTACCACTGAGCTAAAGGGAAATTCCCTCTAGCGCGAAGCTAGTAGGCGGCCGTATTCATGTGTAGAATTTAAATCTGTCGGACTACTCCCCACTTAAATGTGTTCGCCCTCGAACAACACAACAACCCAGGATATATTTCCTTGTCGCCACAAGGAGGGCCACGGACAACATTTGTAACAGAAAAGGAAGAAGCGTGCTTCGACCGGGGATCGAACCTGCGAGCCCATACTTCCTAGTCGGACGCTCTGCCACTGAGCTAAATGGAAATTCCGTCTAGCGAGAAACTAGAAGGCGGACGTATAATTAAAATCTGTCACAAATTTAAATCATTGAGTTTCGCGAGCAGGTTTTCTGAGTATTTATTCGCGAGCAGTATGACATTGCGCTGCACTCAACGCATTGTGTCTTGTGTTAACGTTATGTGTGATAGTTCGCTCTGTACGTGCTTCAATCTGATTCACCTAACTGGGTTTGAAGCTCTGACGTACTGTGGCATGTCTTGTTTGTGTCCAGCACTTCCCACGTGGTAATTATAAATGACCACTCCTGTCCCATCCTTATCTCACGGTTTCGCATACGGTAAGCAAACTAAAACGTGATATCGTGTTTATCGGTAAGTTGAACCTGATGACGCTCATCGTTGTTTCCTAATTCCGAGACTTTCTATTTGGTAATTGTAGTTCCAGCCTCCATATATGTTCTCGACTGTGGCATTGAGTCATATTTTTTGCTGTTCAATAATGAGATGATGTTAAATGGAGACAGTTCGGGTTCTAACATCTAATGAAATAAACCCTGTCTGCAATATATCCAAATATGGACAGCTAGACCGACCATGTAAGTACGTTTGAACCGTACTCAGATAAGAAATACTGTCTGCCCACTTATTGCCTGTTAATAGATTATATTCATAAATAAAAACCTTTTCAACAGACATAAATAAAAACCTTTTAACGGATGTAAATAAAAGACTTATTTAGAAATATTTCTAGATCTCTTCACTCTTAACAGATTTAGCCTTTGTTTCCTCGTCGAACGATCCATCCTTATTTTCTCTTGCCTGAGACTCTCTTGTTTGGTGTACGTTTCAATCACCATTTTACCTTATTTATAATACAGTATACCTGATTGGTTTGAACACATAACATGACTGGAGAACAAACATCGAGTCTCCCTTTCGCTATCTATTTTTCCAGTAGACTGGATTGCCTGCCATAGCTTTTCTACAACCCGGCAGGCTTCGCTTCGAAAATAAAAAAGAGGCCCGTGGGCCTTAACGGTCACCTGCGTTATGTAAAAACTGATGTTATCGATGTTGCCAAATGAAAAAGAAATAATTTTGTAACAAAGGTAACTTGTACTACATGTAATGCAAAAAGTAGCATGTGAAAGGTCTGGGTAGTATATGTACTATGTACAAATAGTATTCTGTCAGTCAGCTGAATTATAGTAAAGCACCTTAAGACCTTTCCATCTATGAAGAGTATTTGATTCTACCATATCTGGACCTTGAGAAGAAGATTTTTGAAATTTTAGTCAATTTGACCCTTTTTGGCCCCGCCCCTCAGGCTCCTGGGGGCTGGGGACAATATAATTCACAATTAAACTATAGTAAAGATTACCCCCTCCTCAGAGGAAAACGTGAGAGCCCAGGGTCATGAAATTCACAATTTTGGTAAAGCACCTTAAGACCCTTCCATCTATGAAGAGTATTTGATTTTACCATATCTTGGTCTTGAGAAGAAGATTTTTGAAATTTCAGTCAATTCAACCCTTTCTGGCCCCTCCCATCAGTCCCTGGGGGTCAGTCAGGGCTGATATGTACATATCATGAAACATCTATCAAATACTGATAATGCTAACCAAGTTTGAATTAATTCCAATGGAAATTAAACAAATGTTGGTCCAAAATGTGATTTCCCTATAAAAACTATAGTAAAGTTTACCCCCTCCCAAGGGGGAAACGTGAGACTCCAGGGTCATGAAATTCACTATTTTGGTAAAGCACCTTACGACCCTTCCATCTATGAAGAGTATTTGATTCAACCATATCTGGATCTTGAGAAGAAGATTTTTGAAATTTCAGTCAATTTGACCCTTTTTGGCCCCGCCCCTCGTGCCCCTGGGGGCTGGGGACCATATAATTCACAATTTTGGTTGACCTTTGGCCATGGAAGGTTTCAAAATTTCATTGAAATTGGTTCAGGGGGTTTTGGAGAAGAAGTCGAAAATATAAATTGTTTACGGACGCAGGACGGACGACGCCAGACAAAAGGCGATCGCAATATAAAGTCCAGTCATTTTACAGGAAACATAAGGTCAACCTCAAACTAATTGCAACATAATTTAATTTGGTGTTTTTTTGTTTGGGAATACATGTAGAATATCACAGAAAAAATCGGCAAAAATCGGAGTTGCGGAAATTTGTCATTTTTCAATATAATGAACAACAATCAGTTTAAAATTGGACGTTACCGGAACTCCAACAATAAATTTCTAAACCTCAAAATAAATATTTTTGAGACTTACAATCAAATATTAAACTTCATATTTCAGATAGAAAAATATTGTTTGACAGCATCTGATGTGGGTAGTATTGTGTGAACTTGTACATGTGTCGTTGACGTCATGACCTTTGTGCTGAGTTTCCTGAACCTGAGCATATTTAGCTTTTCCTTGGGCATTCCTCCATACAACCAAACAATCGCTTCTTTACCAGCCTTAGTCATGGCATCTGGATTTGAGGTACGCTGCTAAAACACTTCAATATGGTCTTTTAGATATTCTGATGCCATCAGCTTTTTAAGAGCAACAGGTTTTCCGATTCCAAACTTTGTCTCGGGTGACCTAAACAATGGTAACAAAGAGCGCTGCCTAACTTTCCCAGTCGAGTAACCCTCACGGAACCTCTTTGGTAAATACTGATGTGTTCCGGATGACACTATTATGATGGCTCCGAGTAGCCATGGTTTACGCTACTACTTTGTTAGTGTTCTATGTCAGTATGATAAAATACATATGCCCTTGTGATAGGGAAACATGATTTTTGTTTCCCATCAGTCAATCGGGTGCACATTTTACATGGGGCCGTCTTTGGAAAACATGATGATACTCTGATGAGAAACAAGGAATCACGTTTCCCCGGAAGCCCCAGAGAAGCATCCTTGGTCCGAGGAAAACAAATAATCATGTTTCTCTACTTCAGACTGGTTCACCCGTTGTCAGTATAATGTGACCGGGTGGGGCGTCCTGCTGGGTGTCTTCGGCAGTATGTTTCAGTGAGGTAGCACTATAAAGTTGGCATCAGTTCGCGCTATCACAAGGAGACAAACACGAACATTTCGCAGCCTCCCAAAATACACACACATACACTACACGCATGCATCTTGCACACAGGGGAGGCCGTCGTTAAATGACCTTAGCTGTTAATAGGACGTTAAACAAAATCAAACAAACAAACAAATCAATGGAACATTTATGTATAAAATGAAATAAAAAATTACCGTTCACCTACAATCGTCTCCCATAAGGTCATGCGCGAGAAAGGTGATACGGTTCAATGTGAGAGTATCGAAAAGGAATATACTGTCCCTGGGTATAGGAAATATGAATTTCTACAGAGTGATCCCTGAGATGACCTCACAACTCTTTTTTTTGGTCTATTATAGAGGTATCGTTACTGCCCGTACATTATGTAACGGAGACACGTGGATGATTGTGATGATGTTTTAACGACCAGTGTCTTGTGGCGTAGATTCCCTCGTAACATATTTCTGCTGGTATAGATGGCTATACTACGTTTTTCCTGTTGTGTAAATGACATCATGATACGTCCCGGGTATTTAAGATACTCCCAAGACATATGTTTCATTAAGGAGGTACACGAACTCTCACAACCTCTATTGATTATTTAAT